AATTTTTGAAGAAAGTATCAGTTGTTAAAACTGGTATTCTATATAATATTAAAAATATATTAAAATACAAATTGGAAACATTTGGATCACATGAATTTTAGATGATTCAAACATATCAATTAATTTTTTATTTTTAACTTGACATGGAAGAGATTTAAGTGGAAGCGGTTTAAATTACACTCTATTACATTATATAAAAATGATAGAAAACATTTTAAGAAAAAATTATAAACTTCTATAACCAAGAGAAGGAGACAGTCTGAGAAGTTAAGTAGGTCGTCTGGGTACTAATAATGATGTATAGTTGAATGAGTGCGATTATCAGAGTACTTTAAAATCTTGATTTTTCTTTTCAACGAAAATTAACTTTGTGATGCATATGCATTATAAAGAATATAAGAGGATAGAAGTAAAATAAGCTCAATACAGAAAATATAGAAATTGTCTTTCTATTATGATATCCCAAGTAAATATGGTGTAGTCGGTGGGAGAGAAGTATGCTTGCTTTCAAAATTTTAGGATAAATTCGTGAAAGTAGTCTTCAACAAAGCTATCACACTAAATTAAAAAAATTTTGTCATAGAAACTATAAAGTTGAGCAATTTTATTCAAATTCTGCATTATCTGCTTGAGAATGACTTTAGAAAGGAGATATAAGAATCGAACCATCTATGTGGTCTCCGGCAGTATGGCAGCGTTATCAGCGCTCAAGTTACATCTAAGCTGGTTTAGAGCTGTCTATCCATTTTAGTGGAGCTGGCATTGACAAACAGAATAACATTCACTTAGATGCCAGAGCACAGTGTGTAAAAGGGCAAAGAGATCGTGAGTGTGAGTGGGGAATTTGGAATCATTTTCGTTCGACCCGTCCTCTTTTGTGGACTTGATCTTTTGCTAAAGGGGATATCAAATATTCTTGATCGGAATGGATCGAAACCGGGTTTGTGCTATTATTAACTTCTTTAGCGGACATTGTCCTGCCTGAATAGTGAGGAGAAGGGCATGCATATTCTGTGTGAGTGCCGTTCTCTGGCCGTCAGAAGTCTCGTATAGTTCGAACGGGACCTTCTCAGTTTTGGCAATTTTACTTTAAAAATTTTAAGCATTTCAGTGCAGCAAAAAGTTTAATAACATAAGGTTAACATTCTATCATTGCGAAATACCTTTATTAACATTCTAGGATTGATGTCTATCCTTTGTTTGACTTAACATAGCATTTCTCTCGTTTACTTCACTTTCAACAATAACCTATTTTTTATTTAAATGTGCGTCTTCATTTGTTTTAAAGCAAATAACTTATTTTTTAATTTATCTCAATATAAGGCTGCCGTATGAGATATGAGACAGAAAACAAGGTCTTATTGAAATATAAAAAAACAGTAAAAATTATTGTAAGAAGTTATAAAAATATTTTATAAAAAAATAAAAGGAACAAGAATCTGTTGTAGAAGTTTATGTTTTAAGTAGATATTATTATTTATTTATGTACCGTTATACGTTCATACAATATAGCTGCTTGTAGTAAATAATAATAATAATAATATGGCACATTGAATGACGTACATAATATCTACATTTGTATATGTAAATGTATAATGTATACGCAGTTTGAGCGGATATATTAAAAAATATGTGTTAATAGAAATTTAGAATTTTATTAAAAAAAAATGAAAAATATTGTGTGATGTGCTGCGCCATAAGGAATATACATATGTCGATTGCATGCATAGGTTAGAGATCCTTTCAAAGAAAGAGAAAGAGCAGGAATAAAAAAAAATTTAAAACAAAAAATATTATTAAAGGCAAGTGAAAAGTTTTGAGTACACAGGATTGAAAAGATACAATTTTTAATGAGAACTTGTTACATTTTTTTTTTGTTTTTCTTCTCCTTTTTTTTTGATTTTTTCTTTCAAATAAATTCATTAAATATAATTAATATTAATTTACGGAAATTATTTCCCAAGATTTTCTATAGATTGTATAAAAGTATCTTTAGAATAAGTACTTGAAAAGTAAAAGTACCTACTTTTTTTTTTTTTTGAAAAGTTATAATTGAAATGCAAAGTTCAAAATGCTGAATTATTTTTATTATATTCTATACTTAGAAATAGGGCAACAAAATTTTGTATTAGTAATAAGGAATAGATTTAAAATTATTATGCTCTTAATGAAAAAATTTTTGTAAAACACGGGAAAACATTTTGGTAAAATTGTTCTAATCCGAAAGATTCCATAATTTGCAGCAAATTCAAAAAGATTTGATGATGAAATAAAATTTCGAACTGCAAATCAAACAATGTCTGAATAATCAAATAATTATATTGGAGTAATCTTATTATCGAAATATTAATTGAGTTCTCAATACATAAAATAGGCAATGTAATAGAAATAAAATTTTATAAGAAATTCTACTAAGAATATTGAGAATATAACAATATAAGTATATACATTAATTCTCTAAAATATTCCACAAAGAATATATCGGAATAACTCCCAATATGTCCCATGAATAAATCTCATGACTCCGAATAATAACTAATATAAGTACACTAACGAAAATAACTCCGAACTGCTATCGCACTACTAATCTAGATTATCGTATTTCAAGTATATAAAGACAAACCTGTTCATTTGAAAGAACGAACAAGAATTAATTGTAATACAATAACACAATTTTTCTTTTATAGTATATTTAATATAACCTTTTCAACAACTTTATTAAAAGAGCGATCGTTAGTTACTTTGGGTATGTGACAGCATATTTTTATTTTACATAATAAAATTGTTTATTATTAAAAATTGTTACCAAGAATAATCGTTGAAAAAATCACAGAAATAATTCATAAATTATTAAATAGCCTAAATCACAATTCTGAAGGATAACGTGATTTAGTATGTTTACAAAAAAAAATTAAAAAAAAAATTGCGTATCAATTTTAACTTTATTTGGTTGTGCGTCTATTCAGAAAATAATTGCATTTTTTTACGATAAAAAGCTGGAATTTCATATACAATAAAATACAGCTTTGCAAGACAGAAAATTTTTAGCTCCTTACTTTTAAGCCCCCTTCTCATATTCTTGTAGTGTGATGAGTTCCAGTTTTTGACCATTTATTGTTTGAAATCTGAAAACAATTTTTAAATTCTGTAAACACACTTGTAAAATTGATTTGTTTCCGCCGTAATATCAAATATCGAATCGTAATATCGTACGTTAACTTGGACGAAAAAGCCATTGAAATCAATCAGTTATCTCGAATCACCTTTTTCGAAATCGAATTTCAATTTAAACAGTTTCTCATTGGAATTGTCCTACTTTACAACCAACTAGCGTGATTCAAATTTGTTTTTACATTACGTTACTCTTGAAATTCATAATGCAAAAGTAAGTAAGTTGCAATAAAAATTTTCTGTCAAAAACAGACACATTTTTTAAATAATATTATTAATATTATGTCAGATTATATATATATACATATAATTAAATTTTAAGAATTAACCTACACCGATTAAAAAATAATCTAAAAAACAAAAATAAGAAGAAAAATGCCTTAATTTTCATGCGAATAATTTTTAATAGCATGCTAGGTATATTTAAGATTTGATGAATACTTTAATAAAATAAAACTTATTAATATGTTTAGCAAGTATGTGTGGGTATATTATACATTCGTAAGGAAGTATTAGTATATACGAACATTATTAACAAATATTTCGTACCTACTGTGGAGTTAAAAAATTTTATTTACTGTTTTCGTAAAAAAATAATTCTGTAAGGATTAAAAATGTAAAGTGAGTTTTCCTTATTTGTTATGCATATGCACATCCTTACAAATATAATTTATATATTTGGTTTATGATTAATATTCAGTAAAAGTCTTACAAAAAAAAATTGTTAGAAAAAATAAAGGTACCAAATGTTCTGAGAATGTGATAAATTTAACGACATCTTGTTCTATTTGCTTTTGTCTCTTTGCTTTTTTTTTTGTAAAGTAAATGACTTTGAATATAAAATATTTTGAGAAATATACGGTTTTTTGTTTTTTTTTGTAAAAAAATTTGACACGTTAATAACTTGTGTTTTTTTTTACATTTGTTTTTTAGTTTCACTGGAATTTTGTATTAAGAGCGAGCATTAAATTATTTCAAGTTTAGTATTGTATCAAGTAGAGAGTAGTGAATTTGAATTTATACATTTGAATTTTTGGCATTATTCCAGAATTACATACATACATATGTACATATTATGCATATTACTTATTTTCAAAGAAATACATAATATGTTCTTATATGCAGGCACGGTTCTGATTTGTTCAACGTCCTATTCAATTTGTTCAACGGTTTTAAGAAAGCGCACTTCACCCTCCGCCCGTTTTAGCGTTTTATTTTGCAATTTTACCCGTACGAATGTATGTTCGAAGAGTGTACTAAATTTGCCTTACCGTTTGTAACGCTAAGAAATAATGGTCTTAGATAGAGGCTCAAGTGTATGTTTTTGATCAGCGTCAAATTCTGAGTTGATTTAGCTTTGTTTCTCCGTCCGTTCGTTCCAACGATAACCCAAAAACTAATTGAGCTAAGTTCACCAAATTTTCACAAATGATTTGTTGTAATAAGTGCCAAAACCCTATTTAAATTGGGCATGATCGGAGTACCGGTTCGAGTAGCTGCCATACAACTTCAAAATTTATTTGACTATATCTCAAAAACTATAAAAGCTATGGTATTGAAATTTCACACAAGCAAATTTGTTAGTAGGGCCGATGTGATTGATAAGATTCGTTAAAATTTCTTGACTCTTTCTGGTAGCTGCCATACAACTTTAAAATATTTTTAAATTATGATTAATTAGAATTTTTAGTTTCGGTTATTCAATAAAGTAGTTTCGAAAGAAGCCAAGGCAATATTTTCTAAAGAAATTAAAATTTAATTTTAAAAATCATTTTTATTATAAATAATTAATATTGAAAATTATTTTTGATTTAATTAAATTTATTTACCTTTTGTTTCGGATTGAATCATCTGCATTAAATTTTGATATTTTATCACCTTGCGAATCAATTTTTAATATTGATGCACCTTTATATATTGTTTCTGGTGTTAATGTCATAACATTTAAATTATTTTTATTTGCACATTTTAAATATATATTATTATTTTTATTATTATTATTGTTATTATTTTTATTAATAAATCTGATTAATGTATCTTTTTTTTTATTAAAATTATAAAATTTCATTTGATTTAATTCACTATTAATTTGTTGTTGCTGTTGTTGTTTTTTAATAACATTTGTTTCATAATCATTAAAAAATTTATCATTGAATATTTTAGCTCCGAGTGCTTTAATTATAATAGGACTTTTTATTATTAAATTTTGTATATTATCATATTGGCATTGACATCCAGATAATAATGATTTTGATTTTTTATTTATTAATAATAAACTATCATCTTCACCGCCATTTATTAAAGGAACTGGTAACAAACATATTATTATTAATAATGAAAAAGTTGATAAAAATTCAAAATGATGCCAAATAAATTTTAATTTTCTTTTAAATTTAACCATTTTGAAAGTTGAATTTTTTTTTGTTTTATTTTTATTTTAAATGTTTTTTGACATTCCAAAAATATTTTATATTTGATTTCAATTTGGCAAACTATGCATTGTTATTCTGTAAACAAAAGTAAGAATTTATTAAATTTTTTGTTTTGTAATAAATTTTGAAAATAATATTATTTTTCGTGTTGCATAGCGAGAAATTTTAACATTAAATTGAGATTTGACATTTGAATTGTTCAAGAAATATTGGTTGCATGTCATACAAATTTAAACTCACATTATGTCTATTTAAGAATGTATAATTGAAATTTCAAGAATTCAAATGAGATATTAAACGGAACTTACCTTAAAAATAATTCAACGACAGCCTCATATGTCTGTAGTATACGCTTGAAAAGAAGCCTGCTCGTATAACAATATTGTTTTATAGAATGTCACGTAAATTCAAGAAAAAGTTATGTACGTTTATAAATCAGTACATACATAATATGTGAATGCATTTAATTTCACTTTCTTCATTTAATGCCCATAAAATTTTTACTAAAAAAATCCTTAAGGAAATAATTATATACAGAGACTTAGAAAGAAAATGCTTGTTATGCATAAAATTCACATGCGAATTAAAAATAGGTTAATTAAATATTTGCATTAATTATTTTATAAAAATCTTAAAATTATTAAAGTTAATAATTACCACGTTGTTTTGATGACGTTGTAACATGTTGCGACGAGTGAATTTTTAATTACATATACAAATGTATGTACATAGCTAGTTTTATTATAAGAATAAATGAAACAGTTCCCAATAAAAAACAAACCAAAAAATGAGGTTAAAAAATTGGGTTGCTTTTTTTGTGGAAATTTTAATTACTAAAACAAAATTCAAATAAATCGTGTAATAAATGTTTATAATAATAGAGTATGTCATTAGTATTTCTAGCGAGAAACGTATTTTTTGAAATTTGGATGATTTATCGACGGTATTGAATATAATAAGGGAAAAATTGTGATTCCGCCAAATTTTGTTTCTGGCAATGTCATTGGCAACCCAGTTTTAGAAATAAATTATTACTTTTGGCAAGATGGTAGGTAGCCTGTCGGTATGTATTGGGCAGTTTTGATTAAACCGACTTTCATGACTATATAAATTTTCAGTTCTGGTTCAATAAATTATTCAGAACTTTCAGGATTCAGAAACCAAACTTTGAATGAAGGCTTGATTTAACATTTTTTACAATATCTTACTCTATAATTAATATGAATAAAGTGAAATCACGAAGTGGCTAAAAATTTTTACATTTGTGGAGATAAAAAAGTTATTGCACATGTGAGAACCAAATTTTTGTTTGAAGAGAGTTATAAAATCATTATACGAAACTTTATTGTAGAAGGTCTATTTTGGTTTAATTTTTTCAAGGTTCCATTATGAAAATTTTTAATCCTGTCTTAAAGCCATGACGTCACAACGATGATTTTATTATTTTTTTAAAATTAGAACAGAATTTTTGTATTTAACAAGAATAACTTAGGATCATCTGGATCTTAATTTCTATATATAAAATTATTTCTATTTTTGTATTATAATTTTTACTTAAGTGTTATATACATATATAACAACCTATATAATTTAAAAATATTTTTGCAAGGAACATTTTTTTATTAAATATAAACTCAAAAACGCCTCAAAAATTTAATTTTATATAAAATTTTCATGGTGTTAAATTCAAATATGATATTTTTTCACGGAATTCTAATATATTTTTAATAAATTTATAAATTCAATATTTTTGTGAACCCTCAGGGCTTTATATAATAATAAGATATCTAAAGAAGAATTCAAATTTTTATCCTTTTATATTTTAGTTTGAAATATTGTGAATTTCATCCTAATGCTAAAATAAAAATAAAAATAAATTTATAAAATTTTAATATCCAAAATTTTGGAACGGGATTTTGAACTTCGATTTATCAATTGGCATGTATCTCTTAAGGATGTTCGAGGATTTTATTAAAATTATTTTAATCTTTTCGTAAATGTATACTCGAATTTAGGTTAATTTCATATATATCGTGTTGATATAATTGCTTAGTTAATATATTCAGAAATTTGATGTGTATTTTAGTGTTTATAGAAAAATTTTGTTACATAAACCTAATATTTTTACAAATATCACAATAAAATTGTACACAATAGGGCAATAAGCTTAAGAATTTTATAATTATTCTTGGTCAATTTCTTATTTTTAATCTAAAAATTTGAAATTTATTAAACGATACAGGAATTATACATATTGCATGTCTATATGTATATATGAAAATATAATCATGCATAAAATATGTTCCATAGTTTATTGCAAATTCATATTTTTATTAAATTACAATAGATATGAGAGCATAGGAAAATATTTTTGCCAAAGGATAACAATAATGATTTTATAAAACATGAAATTGATCCTGAAAACCTTGTAAACTTTTTCTTTTTTATATAAAATGAACCTAATTTCTTAGAAATTTTAAATGTATACCTTAGATGAAGAAAAATAGAAAAAAAATTGAGTAGATATATAGATGATTCATTAGGGTCGGATAAACTAATTTTAAGACAAAGAACGAAAAAAAAATTATATGCAAAAATATTTTTTATAATCAAGGAAATAAGCCAGTTTGATTGCCATAGTAAAAAAAAAGACGAAAATAAAAAAAAGAGATTATTATCCTTTCCCATATACACATTATATACATATTATAAATATTCGGATGTTTGTGTAGACAAAGTATTCTTGTGTTGAAATGATATATTATAAAAGAATATTGAGACTCTATGTCACCTTCTTGTATTGTATTTTATCATCCCTAATTTATGCATTTCTTTTTTCTCCATATTTTTGATGTTATCCTCAAGTTTTTGTCTTTGATGCTTCAAGTTTTTTTGTTTTTTATATATTTTCTCGGTAATATACAATTTAAGGTAGAAAATATTTTGTAAATGTTAGTCTATGTTTCGAATAGTATTAAAGGAGATGGTAGAATTTGAAAATAGTCAAAAACAAAATTAAATAGAATTTTACGATAATCTCATGTACAGCAATAAAATATGAATAGAAAAAATAAATGCAGCTAAAATAAAGAGAGTCACAGAGTGTTTTTGACAAGTTAAAATTTCGTTCTTCGTATTGTCATCTCTGAAGAATATTAAAATAGGGGAAAAATAAGTAGCAATATATTAATTTAGAGGAACATTAATAAATTTAAATTCATAAACATAAAAGATTGAAGAGTTCTGCTCAAAATTACATGAATTATTTAAATTTAATATGAATTTTTAGTGAACCTTTCAGTACATCTTTCTATACAATAGCATTTAGGTATATTTTCGAAATGAATCTTATAGTTTAGTTTTAATCTAAAAATATTTAAATTATACTTATTTAGAAAATAATAAAAAATTTCATTGCGTTTACCTAACAGTCAATATTTACCTTCGATTTTTATATTACGACCACAATTTTTTAATTTATAAAAGTAAGCAAAACAAACCTCTTGCAAATGTACTACATGAAAGAAAACAACTTTTTATGTTGCGGCCTATTAATCATATTTCATTCTGGATTCAAAATTTTTTGCTACTCTCTGCCCATAGATAATCTACTGAATTAGATTTTGCTAGTTTCTAATTTTATAGAAAATAAATTCGCATCAATATCTAGGTTATTTCAAGTACTAGAACTTTATGTTGCGAACAGTTAATATTGAGAAATTGTTCTCTATTATTTTCTTGATCTGCAGTAGTAGCGAAAGAAAAAATTAAATAGTGAGAATTGAATTGAAAAATTGAAACCGATCGAGAAAATTACGTTTACATATAAAAATGAAAGAATGGAAAACACAAAGTATGGTATATGTAATATCAATTTCAACCTTTTATGCATAGAAAATAAAAAATTATACTTTCATTTTTATTTATTGTATAATATTTTGTCCTTATAAAATTTAACAGAAAATGAAAGATTCTAATACATAAACTAAATATAGTATGACTATATTATGTATATAATGTGTGTACATCAATTCGTTAATATCATATGCAATATGTACATATGTACATATATAAGTTTTCTTCACATGCATATCCATATGTACAGTGTTTTGCAATAAAAAGAATGTAAAGAATTTATTTTTAGGTTATTTTAAAATTTAACCAATTCAGTCTTATGATTTGCATATTGTCACTATGCAAGTACATTGAACGAGTTTTTAAAGTAGGTTGTGAGCATTATTTCAATGAAACGGATTCAATAAATTTTACATACGAGTACAAATATAAATTTTTTGTTATAGAAAATTTTTATTTACTTACATACATACATATGTTTTATTTCAACGGATTTTTTCCTGCTCCATCCAAATATAATTCAAGGGCATTTAGTCATTTGTGTCATCAATTAATCTATGTACATACTTCTTAAGAACAAAAGAATAATAAGAAAATATTGCGTTCATCACTTAAAGTTTTTAAAATCAGATTAAACTTTAAATTTTACTAAAAAATTAGTGAGAAAGTGAGTGAACATCTCGTACTTGGCTATATTTCAATTTGATTCCACCTAGTTTTGACATTTAAATTTTAAATATCTTATAACATACAAATGCAGCATTGCCATATCTATAATTTTCGTATTTGACAGGTTTGTATTTTACATTTTTCATACTGTTATACAAGTATGAAACAAAGTGTTAAAATTTTTTACAATGTTTCAAATTATAATACAATTTACATAATTTATTTGAATGAAATATTGAACTACCCTATACACTTTAATGCTTAATTTTAATATAAGAGCTTAAAATAAGAATAGAAATTTTCTTTTGAATGAAACATTTTTTATAGAACATATAAATATAAAACTTTAAATATGTGCATATAACAGTTACATATATATATATACTATATAATTCAAAGTTATATATTTATACGCAAATATAAAATGAAATTTTTGCTCAGTTAGCAGATCAACAGCTCCGGGATATTTTCTTTAACAAAGAAATTTTTCTTTTATGAAATTAATACCGGTATTACACTTTCATAAAATATAAAAATAATTTTTTTTTGAA